AACGGATAATACGCAGAGCATCACACCACGTGAAAGTGAAACCTGAGCGGTGAACAAATTTTTGGCAGCCGAAATTTCGGTGTATCTCTAATTATTGGCGACATCAGAAATGGATATTATATAATAGATGCTTTTTTGAACATTTTAGCAATTTAAAAATATTAAAAAATAATTTTTTACACGGCACCCCTGCTCTCGACAGACGGCACCCCGGTTGGGAAACACTGTTCTAGGTTATTACGTGCAGAGTTTTTAGGTCTTATAATTAACACTTGTTTTTTCCGAAGAAATTACTCGTCATCAAGTTTTTTATATCGACTATGCATTCTGTTAGTTTTTCAAATTGGTATGTTTCGCCGGGCCGCAAAGAAATATAGAGCTGAGTATCATCAGCATAACAGTGAAAGCTAACACTATGTTTCCTGATGATATCTCCCAAGGGTAACATGTAAAGCGTGAAAAGTAACGGCCCTAGTACTGAGCCTTGAGGTGCTCCATACTGCACTTGTGATCATTATGATACCTCTTCATTTACTGCTACGAATTGATGGCGGTCAGATAAGTACGATTTGAACCATGCTAATGCACTTCCATTAATGCCAACAACGTTTTCTAGTCTATTCAAAAGAATGTTGTGGTCAATAGTGTCAAATGCATCACTAAGATCCAATAGCACTAATAGAGAGATACAACCACGATCAGATGATAAGAGCAGGTCATTTGTAACTCTAATGAGAGCAGTCTCAGTACTATGATACTGTCTAAATCCTGACTGGAAATCCTCACAGATACCATTTTTCTCTAAGAAGGAATATAATTGTGAGGATATTACCCTTTCTAGTATCTTGGACAGAAAAGGGAGATTCGAGATCGGTCTGTAATTAACTAGTTCTTTGGGGTCAAGTTGTGTTTTTTTGATGACAGGCTTAATAACAGCCAGTTTGAAGGTTTTGGGGACATATCCTAATGACAATGACAAATTAATAATAGTCAGAAGAGAATCTATGACTTCTGGAAGCACCTCTTTTTAGGAGCTTAGATGGAATAGGGTCTAACATACATGTTGGTTTAGATGATTTAACACATTTATACAACTCTTCTTTTCCTATAGTAGAGAATGAGTGGAATTGTTCCTCAGGGGATCTATAGCACACTATCTGATGCGTTACTGTAGCTGACGGCTGCATGGTTACAATTTTAGCTCTAAAAGTATTGATCTTGGAAGTAAAGTAGTTCATAAAGTCATTACTGCCGTGCTGTTGGGAAATGTCAACACTTGTTGATGCTTTATTTTTCGTTAATTTAGCCATTGTATTGAATAAATACCTGGGGTTATGTTTGTTTTCTTCTAAAAGAGACGAAAAGTAATCAGATCTAGCAGTTTTTAATGCTTTTCTGTAGGATAGGGTACGTTCCCGCCAAGCAATACGAAATACCTCTAGTTTTGTTTTCCTCCAGCTGCGCTCCATTTTCCGGGCTGCTCTCTTTAGGGTGAGAGTGCTCATTATACCACAGTGTCAGACTGTTTTTCTTAATCTTTCTTAAGCGTAAAGGAGCAACCGTATCTAAAGTGCTACAAAAGAGAGAGTCCATAGTTTCTGTTACATCATCAAGTTGTTCTGAGGTATTGGAAATGCTAAGGAATTGAGATAAATCAGGAAGATTACTTACAAAGCAGTCTTTTGTGGTAGAAGTGATGGTTCTACCATACTTGTAACAAGGAGTAGAATTTACAGTTTTAGATATATGAAGTTTGCACAAGACTAGATATTGATCTGAGATATCATCCCTTGGCTGCATAATTTCAACACCATCAACATCAATTCCATGTGACAGTATTAAATCTAGAGTATGATTTTGACAATGAGTAGGTCCTGACACGTGTTGTCTAACCCCAATAGAGTTCAGAATGTCTATGAATGCTGGTCCCAATGCATCTTTTTCATTATCAACATAGATATTAAAATCACCAACAATTAAAACTTTATCTGCAGCCAGCACTAACTCGGATATAAAATTAGCAAATTCTTTAATAAAGTCTGTATGGTGCCCTGGTGGCCTGTATACAGTAGCCAGTACAAACATCACAGGGGATTTATCATTAACACTTGTTTCTCTGGATAATGTTATATGAAGCACCATTACTTCAAACAAGTTATACTTGAAGCACGCCCTCTGAGAAATACTGAAAATATTGTTATAAATTGTAGCAACACCTCCCCCTTTACCTTTTGGACGTGGCTCGTGTTTATAACAGTAATCTTGGGGAGTAGACTCGTTTAAAATAATGTAATCATCAAGTTTTAGCCAGGTTTCTGTCAAACAGAGATAATCTAGGTTATGATCAGTGATCATATCATTTACAAAAAGTGCTTTCGTAGAAAGGGACCTGATATTCAATAAGCCAAGCTTTATCATTCGTTTATCCGTATTACATCTGTTTTTTATTTGTTGAACATCAATTCAATTGTTACTCTTAATTTGGTTTGGACGTTTTTAGTATTTTCTAGTTTGGGGAACAGACACAGTCTCTAAAGTGTGATATGTGAAAGAGTCACTATGTGCTGAGAATTAACTGATTTCTGTGACGCGAGGCGGCAAGTAGATGGTCGGTTTAGCCAGTCTGTGACGACAGTCTGCTATGTATCTCGTCACCACGGTAAGCAGGGAGGGGACCAGAACATATTACAGTGTCTGACATCGTACTTGCAAGTTAACACTCCTCTTTAATGTTATTTTTAGTGATCTCCGACTGGCAAAGTCGAACATCATTAGCGCCGGTGTGAATAACAATCGTACTAAATTTACATTTAGCATAAGCCAGCACTTTTAAATTTGCCAAGATGTCAGGCACTCTGGCTCCCGGTAAACATTGGACTATGGTGGCTGGTGTTTCTATTTTCACGTTCCGTGCAATAAAACAGCAAAAGAACCAATAACGACACTGGCCAAACAAATCAATATAGTAAACAATAGGATAAAAACGACAGATCATTTCCATGTTTTTGCCACAAAATTATGTTTTATTATGTACAGAAAGCACATACTCTATCTCTCCTGCTCTTTCTCTCTACAGACGCACCCACATACAGTTTGCACACACACTAACATACACGCTAATGTTGATAGCAGTACTCTGATGATTTTTTCAGTAAGCTAACATCAATTTAAAAACTACATGACTCCTCACACATGAGGTAACAATGGCACTGTTCGTGAAGAAAATTAACTTAAAATTTCACTATTAATAGAGACACTGCTGCCGAACACTTTTGAGAGATGCACAGACTCACAGAGGTAAAACAACTTCTAATTTAAGTGAACTTAAAGGGATAGTTCACCCAAAAATGACAATTTAATGTTTATCTGCTTACCCCCAGGGCATCCAAGATGTAGGTGACTTTGTTGCTTCAGTAGAACACAAACAAAGATTTTTAACTCAAACTTTGCAGTCTGTCAGTCTTATAATGGAAGTGAATGGGAATCACGGCTTTGAGAGAAAAAAACATACACACCTATTTCTCAAATGGACCATTGACACTCCTAATTGAGATTGTAGATAGAGTGTCAATGGTCCATTTGAGAGATAGGTGGCGGTAATGTACTTATAAGTTTGCGATCCGCCGTAAAGCAAGAAAAAGAAGAAGTGCATCAGAGGTAAAAAAAAAAAAGAAGATATAAATACTGTTCAGTTTCTTGCACAGACCGATCGTTTCGTGTCTTAACACATCAATGTATCGTATTTATTTTCCATTTAGTCCTAGGAATCATTAGGTAAGCTCATCAGTTTTGTCTAATTTCTTAAGTAATTTCACCAAATACGGAGAGCTAAATTGAGCAGCGATTTATAAATAAAAAAAAAAAATTTTGAAATCTATTCTGTAATGAATTGACAGCCAATGTAAGGAAACCAAAATATGTTTTGTTTTTTTTGCAAGTACCTGTTAAGAGCATCATAGCAACATTTTGTACCAACAGTAAGCAGTTCCAATTCACTCTCAAACTGACTCTCTCCAGTTCCCAACACACACAATCACCAAACACTGATAAAGAAGTTTGCGAGCATTGTGTTCAGGATAGGGTTATGATCCATCTGTGCTTTCACCTGGATGTCACCTATTACCAATTCACCTGCTTATTGTGATATGTTTCAAAACAGTTTAATTTGGATATTCTTTCGTTTCACTTTTTTGTTGCAGTTATCAAAATCAAAATGTGTTTATATCTACAAAATACAATGAAGTTTATCAGTGACAACAATAACATTTATTATTATTATTATTATTATTATTATTATTATTATTATTATTATTAAGGCTTCAAAAACCAAAACAAGAATACTTAACTAAATGTGACCCTGGAGCACAAAACCAGTCTCAAGTCGCTGGGGTATACTTGTAGCAATAGCCAAAAATACATTGTATGGGTCAAAATTAAAATTAAAATCATTAGGATATTAAGTAAAGATCATGTTCCATGAAGGTATTTTGTAAATTTCCTACTGTAAATATATTAAAACTTATTTTTTTATTAGTAATATACATTGCTAAGAACTTCATTTGGACAACTTTAAAGGCGATTTTCTCGATATTTAGATTTTCTTGCACCCTCAGATTCCAAATTTTTAAATAGTTGTTTCTCCTCCATATTGTCAGATCCTAACAAACCATACATCAATGGAAAGCTTATTTATTCAGATTTCAGGTGATGTATAAATCTCAATTTCGGAAAATTGACCCTTATGACTGGTTTTGTGGTCCAAGGTCACAAATTAGCAATATTGACGATATTGTCTGACTTGGTAACATACCAAACCGAGTTCCTGTTGGGCTGCAGTCCTGCAGAGTTTGGCTTGAACCTTAATTAAATACACCTGATCTGAATCAGGGTTCAAATTAAACTATTCAAAACTGTGGCTCTCAAGGAGCTGAGTTTGGTGCCCCCGTACTAAATGATACATTTCTCATGTCATTCCAAATATCAGATAATAATTCACTAACTTTGAGATGTCTCCTGTAGTCAGAGCACTGATGATCCACTCTAGATCCAGAGTTTTAAAGGGAATGAGTATAAGACTTGTGGAGTTGTCTAAATCAGTGGCGCTCTCTGGGTACATAAGGTGATGAGTAGTCTTATAGCCAACATCCTTTTCAAAACCCTGTGTTGGAGCCTGGTTCATTCTGTTAATACACAAAAGTACACACACTTTAACATCATGTTATAAAGTCTTACACAGTTATGTGCATGTCTGTTACAACAGGAAGGTGTGGCATATTTATAATTATATATTTCCGCTACATTGCAAGGTCAATTACTGTTGAATTCTGTTGATTATTGCCAACATTTCTACATAAAAGCTTGCTCAAATTTTCCTGCTCTCACCCACAAATTAAAGTGTGATATAATATTAAAGGGGTCATATGAAGCGATTAAAAATTTTCCTTTCCCTTTTTGGAGTGTTACAAGCTCTTGGTGCAAAGTTGCAAAGACTAAAGTCTCAAATCCAAAGAGATATTCTTTATAAAAGTTAAGAGTCAACCATGCCTACATAAAACGCCTCGTTTTAACATGCCCCCACATGAAGATTAGCATAACGCCACCCAAATGTTCACGCAAAGAAAGAAGGCATAACTTTTATTCTCGCTGTAGTATTGTTGTTGCCGCCGCTGCCATGTCGTGAAGACAGTGTGTGTTTCGTTGTGAAAGCGAAACTACTTTGTTTGGCCTTCCAAAAGAGTCATGCCTAGAGCTGATCCGTGCTGGTCGCTGAGGAAATACATCAACTTCATGCTGTGGATCGCCGGATTCGGCATTTACCGTGGACGAAGTGGAGTCCAGCCCGGGGTCGTCACATATGGTTGCCGCAAGCCTGCTGGACGCTCCTTCGTCAGATCCACCGGCTGTTTTCTGTTCTCAAGCCCGCCTGCCTCTGCTCACTCAAGCCGGCCTCTGCTCACTCACGGCTCACTCTAGGCCTCCGGTCGCCGCTCACTCAAGGCCGCGTGTGATGCTGTTTCGTTGTGAAAGCAAAACTACTTTGTCTGGCCTTCCAAAAGAGGACATGACTAAAAATCAGTGGTTAAGTTGTATTTACAACACTGT